ATATATATATTAGGAAGTATAGTAAATGGTCCATTGCGTGCGGTAAAAGGTCAAGTGGAAGATGGTTATTTAGTCAACTTGGTGAGAAATATTTAACTTGGTGTTTGGGTCAGCAGTAATAACTTAGCCTTGTAAAGTGAGTGGCTGACCTTCCTGCTGACGACACTCTAACTTGCTGTATTGCTTACCAAATGTAATTGAACTTCAGAAATAGTTTTGTTTAGCTATTGATGAAAACATTCAGTCAATTTAAAATAATAATTATAGTAATAATAATAATACAAATTACAAAATTAATGCAAAACGATATATATACACCGAGATATGTATATGTTATCTCGGTGTGTATATACAATATAAGCTTACTTTTTATCTGAACTTTGTTCATTAGCAAAGAATTCTTGCTGCTTGATGAGTTGTTGTTGTTGTTTTAGATTTAGCTACTCACAACGAAGTGTCCATGTAGCACGGGCTATGGCGAGCCCGTTGATGAGTGTGTGGTGGCCTTAATAACCCCCCTCGCGGTAGTTAGGCACTTAGCCAAACACCAAACCAAGCAGCATTCATGCTGGTTATAAATAAAGTCTCATTGCTCAGAAAAGATTATGGGCTATTCATGCCCGTGCTACCTCTTGGGTGGCTTAATCTTTATCACTCAATATAGAGACGAGACCAAACAGGCTAAATTAACTCCCAGACTTACGCAGGCGTAAGTCTGCGTAAGTCTAACCAAGCAAGCATGGGACTTGCAAGACATCAACTCTAGGAAGGAAATGCCACGCGTAACATCTTGGCCTTTAAGTTGAGACAGTAGAGAAAGAGCTGTCCTCGCCAGGGTCATTAGTACCTCATAGTTTGAGATACTAATGCTTGCTGAGGTACTGGCCCGTTGCGGTACTGGGTAGTTCATAATCTGTGAACTTCCGTGAACTTGTGGTACAATTATTGGTGGGAATTATTTTCCGGTGAAGGTTCAGATGTTGGTTGTGTCGTAATAAATAACACATTATGTTTATTACTGCAATTATCCCCCCTTATATTCAATTCTCAACATTTCAGAGCCCTTTATTTTTATCCATAATGTAGGGTTTATTGAATAATTGCACAAGTTTATATATATATATATATATATAAACGTATATGTGTATATACAAAAGAATGGGGGTGGTAGGAGAAGAAAATATTAATGTGTTCAGTGAGAATCCACAAGGTCTTCTCTGAATATTCTTTATTTTCTTCTCCGAGGCTGTGGGTCCCCCACAAAAATTTCACCATAGGTGGTACCCTCACAACTTTTATATATATATATATATATATATATATATATATATATATATATATATATATATATATATATATATATATATATATATATATATATATATATATGTATATATATATATATATATATATATATATATATATATAATATATATATATATATATATTTATTTATTTATTTATATATATATAGATAATTAGATTTTGTGTATTAATAATAAGCTGAAGGATAGCTTAGGAACTTGAAAAAGACGTTAAGATCATTTAGGTGTACTAGAAACAGTGTAATACTTTGCTCTTCGTCATAAAGAATAATAGTTTACATTGTGTGGTAGATGGAGGGTGAAGGCCCCCTCCTCCCTGCAGGTGAAGGGCAGCCACTTGACTGACTCTCCCTTGGTCTCTCCTGCAGCCGGTGGATGGTCGCAGGCAAGGCTGACCCAGAGATGCCCAAGAGAATGTACATCCACCCTGACAGCCCGGCCACCGGGGAACAGTGGATGCAGAAGGTCGTCTCTTTTCACAAGTTAAAGCTCACCAATAACATCTCTGATAAACACGGATTTGTAAGTATATATTCCTTCATAGTCACCTTATAGAGGCGTTGTTTTTGTTGCTATTTATTTTTGTTGCTTATGTCTTGTCTTGTTAATGTTGAGACGCTGGGCCCATTGTGACGGCTTACGTGTGAGTGGGAGTTCCCGGGTAATGCTAAATTGGTTAGACTTACTGGCAAGGATTGCGGCTTAGCAGCCAAATTTATCTGGTCTTGGAATAGTTTTTCATCTCAGTACAGCTTTAATAATTAGCGTTTCTCGGTTTTAGTGCTTCAACAAAGGAAAACATTTACAAATTCTAAGGTCTGAGGTCCTTATGTCATCTTATTATGTTCAAAGAGCCGGCAACTCACAAGGTTTTGACTTAAGAGTGGGAAGGCTGCGTACATGTTACAGCTGTAACTTATGACCACAACCTTCAGTCTGGACTTCGAACTGAGGAACTTCATCCTGACCTCAGCATTAAACTCGCGTATAGCCCCGAGATCAATACTTTGCCTGACCTTAAGATCGAGCCATTACTTTATCTCCAGATCTACTCATTGCTTGACCTCGAGATTAACCCTTTCCTTCGCCTCGAGTTCGACCCATTACTTAGTCTTGAGATGAACCCATTGCTTCGCCTCGAGTTCGACCTATTGCTTGACCATACTTAGGTTTTATGATCGAATTCCTTCTCCTGCCTCAGGAGAGGCTTCTAGAGATTGAGGTTGGGAGTCAGGAGCATTACCGGACTTGTTGGGGAACCAAAAATGGACAGATGGGGTTGGCGATTTTCTCAATTTAGTTTGATAATAGTTAGGGGAAAACCACACTATCTGGGTAATTGACAGTACCACAGAAGCTCTTCAGTGCAACAATATTATACAAACCGAAACAGCTGAAAGGCATATGCAAGGCTGCAATGTTGATGTAATAAAATGTTGGTGTGTTAAACATCTTTCCTGAGTTAATAACTCACGTTAGAGTTACAACATTCCATATTTTGCAAGTGAACAATTAATGTTTGTCATGTATCACTCAGTATTTCACATCGAAACTACATTGCTCTGTATTATACAATACCGTCAGATTTCATTACAGACCAGTAAACTCGTACAGTGATATCGGCCCTAGTGATATCCCAGACAGGCGAAAGGGCCAGTCAGTCACCTGTCTGCTAAATGATAAATTTATATCATCCAGTCAACGATTATAGATGAGTTCATTTTAATCAATCACCTGCATGTCTCAGTGCCGGGCACTAGGCTATCAAAAACACAACAATATAAGTCAATCAACACATTCGTGGTATAATTCTATTATACATCAAATCTTATACATTTGTGTAAATAATGTATTGAGGTGAAGCAGCCTAAGCACACGCTCAGAACATTGTGTACACTCTCAGAACATTGTGTACACGCTCAGAACATTGTGTACACTCTCAGAACATTGTGTACACGCTCAGAACATTGTGCACACGCTCAGAACATTGTGTACACTCTCAGAACATTGTGTACACTCTCAGAACATTGTGTACACGCTCAGAACATTGTGTACACGCTCAGAACATTGTGTACACGCTCAGAACATTGTGTACACGCTCAGAACATTGTGTACACGCTCAGAACATTGTGTACACGCTCAGAACATTGTGTACACGCTCAGAACATTGTGTACACTCTCAGAACATTGTGTACACTCTCAGAACATTGTGTACACGCTCAGAACATTGTGTACACGCTCAGAACATTGTGTACACGTACACACGCTCAGAACATTGTGTACACGCTCAGAACATTGTGTACACGCTCAGAACATTGTGTACACTCTCAGAACATTGTGTACACGCTCAGAACATTGTGTACACGCTCAGAACATTGTGTACACTCTCAGAACATTGTGTACACGCTCAGAACATTGTGTACACGCTCAGAACATTGTGTACACTCTCAGAACATTGTGTACACGCTCAGAACATTGTGTACACGCTCAGAACATTGTGTACACGCTCAGAACATTGTGTACACTCTCAGAACATTGTGTACACGCTCAGAACATTGTGTACACGCTCAGAACATTGTGTACACGCTCAGAACATTGTGTACACTCTCAGAACATTGTGTACACTCTCAGAACATTGTGTACACCCATCAGAACATTGTGTACACGCTCAGAACATTGTGTACACGCTCAGAACATTGTGTACACGCTCAGAACATTGTGTACACGCTCAGAACATTGTGTACACTCTCAGAACATTGTGTACACTCTCATAACATTGTGTACACCCATCAGAACATTGTGTACACGCTCAGAACATTGTGTACACGCTCAGAACATTGTGTACACTCTCAGAACATTGTGTACACTCTCAGAACATTGTGTACACCCATCAGAACATTGTGTACACGCTCAGAACATTGTGTACACGCTCAGAACATTGTGTACACGCTCAGAACATTGTGTACACTCTCAGAACATTGTGTACACGCTCAGAACATTGTGTACACGCTCAGAACATTGTGTACACGCTCAGAACATTGTCTACACGCTCAGAACATTGTGTACACGCTCAGAACATTGTCTACACGCTCAGAACATTGTGTACACGCTCAGAACATTGTGTACACGCTCAGAACATTGTGTGCACTCTCAGAACATTGTGTACACGCTCAGAACATTGTGTAACATTGTGTACACGCTCAGAACATTGTGTACACGCTCAGAACATTGTGTACACCCATCAGAACAGCGTAGAACCCAGCTGTTGTTTTAGATTCAGCTACTGGGATAAACAATTCCAAGTAGCACGGGCTATGGTGAGCCCATAGTGGACTTACCTGGCACAGGAGCGGGGCTGTAACTGGTCGAGAACCCAGCGATTCACAGGTTATTAGTCTGCAGCTCGGTATGCGGGTACCCCGCCCGGAGAGAGGTGTGGCAGGAGCCTGTAGCCACACCATGTTGAACTGGGTACCCACATCTCGTTTCCCATTGTGTGTGGGGCATGTCTCCCTCGTTTTCTGTTGTGCGGTGCTTGTCCCTACATGGGACCTGTGCCTACGTACATCCTCATCCCAGCGGAGGAGAATAGTTAATATCTTGTAATGAATCGCGCGTACTGGGGCCTTTGTGGACGGTAATAGGATTGGTGTAGCGATTTGTATGTAGCCGTTTATGAATGGTGGAGATGTTGGGAGGTGCGCGCGCACCCTGCCAAGCGGAACCGCGGGAAGGCCAACTATTGGAGCTTATATTCAGTTAGTAAGAGCTCTCTCTCATATATTTGGCAACAATATTGATAATATTGACAATGATAATAATACTGATAATGTTGGCAATGATAATATTGATAATATTGGCAATGATAATATTGATAATATTGGCAATGATAATATTGATAATATTGGCAATGATAATAATAGTGATAATATTGGCATTGATAATATTGATAATATTGGCAATGCTAATATTGATAATATTGACAATGATAATATTGGCAATACTAATATTGGTAATATTGGCAGTGATAATAATACTGATAATATAGGCAGTGATAATAATACTGATAATATAGACAGTGATAATAATACTGATAATATAGACAGTGATAATAATACTGATCATATAGGCAGTGATAATATTGGCAATGATAATATTTATAATATTGACAATGATAATAATATTGATAATATTGTCAATGATAATAATATTTATAATTGAAACACTATTTTTACTTATAATATAGATTATGGTATTAGTGATGCCAATAATATAATAACAGAAAAATGTTAATAATAACACTTGATAATAATAATAATAATAATAATAATAATAATAATAATAATAATAATACTTATAAGCGTACACAACATATCTGTCATTGGGTGTCGTTGAAGCACAACACGGAAACAAATATTACGTTAATACAATAGTACTGTAATCACTAGCCAATAACAATAATTAGAAGGAGCAGCAAACCACGAATGAACCAAGAACCAGCCGACAAGCCCCAGGCTAGGAGCCTGGAGCCAGATTCACGAAGCAGCTACGCAAGTACTTACGAACCTGTACATCTTTTCTCGATCTTTGGCGGCTTTGTTTCCAATTATTAAACAGTAATGAGCTCCGAAGCGCCAGGAGGCTGTTTATAACAATAACAACATTTGATTGGGAAGTTTTCATGCTTTTAAACTGTTTAATAAATGTAACCAAAGCCGTCAAAGATTGAGGAAAGATGTACAGGTTCGTAAGTGCTGGCGTAACTGCTTCGTGAATCTGGGCCCTGGTCTCAAGCCGTGGCGGGAAGGAGCGTGGCGGCTGGGAGCATCCATCAGGCAGTCGGCCAATCAGCTACTAGGAAGCCTCGTGAGCGGTAATCATCCTCCCTCACCTTGCCGCTCAAGCGTCGCCTTAGAATCCGGACTCAGCCTGCGTTAATGGCCGGATCAGATAACACCCCAAACCTCGCTATCCGGGACTCACGCACTTTGTCCCGGGGGAGTCCCGAGGTCCGCTCCTTCGCCACCGTCGCCAACCACACACTCCTATTTTTTTTAATCCATGGGAAAATGTTGCCTTCGGAAACGAAGACCTTTTGAGCAATGGCTGCGAACAAGGGAGGCGGCAAACAGGTTGGGACATTAACGAGGTGGTTCTATAGTTAATATGCAAATCAGTCATGCTTGTTAACCGCTGGGCCGGATCACGGAAAGTGAAGGATTCGCGGAGGTGGGCGGACGGGGCTGTAGGAGGGGGGGGGGTGCTGGAGGAGGTGGAGAAGGGGGGGGGGTGCTGGAGGAGGTGGAGAAGGGGGGGGAGGAGGGGTGGAGGCCGCCCTGCCCAGCGCTGGTGATTTAGAGTCGTGTTGGGCTCCGCTGAACGAGAGGGTAAACACGAGGCTGTTAACCATGGAGCTTGTTCTTAATTTGTTAACCTTATTATTTTACTTAGAGCCGAGCGAGGAGAGCAAAGGTTTCTTCACGCGAATGATGGCGGAGGAACACCTTGCCTGCCCCTCTTGCCTTGTACCCCTGCTTGTGTACTGTCACTCTGTACACACACACACACACACACACACACACACACACACACACACACACACACACACACACACACACACACACACACACACACACACTCACACACACTCACTCACACACACACACACACAACACACACACACACACACACACACACACACACACACACACACACACACACACACACACACACACACTCACACACACACACACACACACACACACACACTCACTCACTCACACACTCACAGGGGCCTGGTAGCCTGGTGGATAGCGCGCAGGACTCGTAATTCTGTGGCGCGGGTTTGATTCCCGCACCAGGCAGAAACAAATGGGCAAAGTTTCTTTCACCCCGAATGCCCCTGTTACCTAGCAGTAAAAAGGTACCTGGGAGTTAGTCAGCTGTCACGGGCTGCTTCCTGGGGTGTGTGTGGTGTGGAGAAAAAGAAAAAAATGTAGTTAGTAAACAGTTGAGAAGCGGGCCGAAAGAGCAAAGCTCAACCCCCGCAAACACAACTAGGTGAACTAGGTGAATACACACACACACACACACACACACACACACACACACACACACACACACACACACACACACACACACACACACACATACATACATACACACATACAGTGCTTGCATGTGCACCTCACCTGACGTGTGTATGTATTCACCACTAGTAATGTATTAGCTCTGAAGATAACATATGTAAGATGATATATCGCTCAGAGAAAGTCAATTAACGTTGGAGAAATCATCTATTAATTACCTGCATATACGCAACATTTTAAAAGCATTAAGAAATTGTATACACTCAAAGTAAGACCAACATACAGTGGTCATCAGTGAAACATGTTTATGACAAACATATATACCTATACGAGACAATGTCTGTCTGTCCCAAGTTGGAGGACAAACGCTTGCGGCTAGTCTCACCCAAATTGGCAAAGGGAATGGTCTGGGGTACGGGATGAACATAGGCTGGTTAGGGGTCGCAGGAATTGAAAAGGAAACTATGTGCCAGGGTTATATTCAGACCTCCCATGCGACAATTTTTGTCACTGCCCGCTGGCGACACAGATAAATAGTTTCAAATCAGACTTTTCAAAACCTTTTTTTCTTCTTATAGTAATATGCACCATTATTCACTGATCTCGGAAAGAGTAAGAAAAATATCCTGCTGTCCATAATTTGTCCGTACTGGCATAAAATAGACGCTTCTTTCTGAGAATAATACGGTAACTTCTCGAATTTAGCATTTTTCTCGTATTTCACACCATCCACACATTAGGCAGTTATAGTTTCATATGAGAGAGACAGACTGAAACAGACAGACACAGAGACAGAGAGAAGCAGAGAGAGATAGAGACAAAGACAGATAGACATAGTCAGAGAAAGAATGGCTCATTAAATCAGATATGTTTCATTGGATCGGTAAACCCACTTACTTGGATAACTGTGGTAATTCTAGAGCTACTCAAGCTAATTCTAATTCTCAAGCTCTAATAGAGCTAATTCTAGACTCAAGACGTTTGAGTCGCATTGTGACCACACTCCTCCTCGTGATGTGTTGGCGGGAGATGTCTTTACATATTTTTAAATTATTATTAATGTGTTAATTTTTTCGTGATTTACACACACACACACACACACACACACACACACACACACACACACACACACACACACACACACACACACACACACACACACACACACACACACACACATACACACACACACATGGGAGCCGGTGGCCGAGCGGACAGCACGCTGTACACGTGATCCTGTGGTCCCGGGTTTGATCCCGGGCACCGGCGAGAAACGATGGGCAGAGTTTCTTTCACCCTATGCTCCTGTTACCTAGCAGTAAATAGGTACCTGGGAGTTAGTCAGCTGTCACGGGCTGCTTCCTGGTAGTGTGTGTGTATGTGTGTGGTGGGGGAAAAAATAGTAGTAGTAGAAACAGATGATTGACTGTTGAGAGGCGGGCCGAAAGAGCAGAGCTCAACCCCCGCAAGCACAACTAGGTGAATACAACTAGGTGAGTACATACACAGGGAGAGAGAAAGATCTGGGGGTTTGCTATCTCACCAGACCTGTCCCCTGAAGCTCTCATAAATAGGATATCATCAGCGCAACCCATCCTCCTGTTTAGACAGTAATTTGTGTAACTATGTGCACCATAGTACAAATATTGACTTACTTAGCAATTAGATAGTAGAATTTGGTACTATTCACTTTATAGTCCGAAAAAATGAAGCTAAAAAAGTAACTTTAGTACTCCTAGGCCTAGTATAGCACACATATGTACTATATTTGGCCTCAGATATCATGTATTAGGCCTAAGAAGGCTTGGTTAGTTTAGGTTGTCTTTGCAACATCATTAGAAAATCTTTTCCGGTTTGTCCAAATTCAGTAGTACCGATTTCTACTTTTTAATTGCGTTGTACGTCGGTATATGTACTATGGTGCATATGTACGGCGCCTGACAGCTGGGTGGACAGCGCTTCGGATTCGTAGTCCTGAGGTTCCGGGTTCGATCCCCGGTGGAGGCGGAGACAACTGGGCAAAATGTTTCTTTCACTCCGATGCCCCTGTTACCTAGCAGTAAATAGGTACCTGGGAGTTAGACAGCTGCTACGGGCTGCTTCCTGGGGATGTGTAACAAAAAGGAGGTCTGGTCGAGGACCGGGCCGCGGGGACGCTAAGCCCCGAAATCATCTCAAGATAACCTCAAGAAGATGGTCCCCATTGTTAGTTCAAGTACTCTAAGACAGGAGGCTGTGCTGATCAACAGCATATGCCGTGTATGATGTTGGCCAACATCAATACTGCCTTTAGTAACTTGTGTAAGGAATCATTTAGAATCTTGTATACCACTTATGTCAGACCATTACTGGAGTATGCAACTCCAGCGTGGAGCCAGTATTAAACCAAATACATGACTAGATTGGAGAAGGTTCAAAGGTATGCCACTAGACTAGTACCCAAGCTGAAGGGCATGAGCTACGAGGAAAGACTACGGGAACTAAACCTCACGTCGCTGGAAGACGGAAGAGTTAGGGGGGACATGATCATCGCATATAAGATTCTCAGAGGAATTGATAGGATAGATAAAGACATTATTTAACACAGGTGGTACACCCAAAAAGTGATACAGGTAGAAAATGAGTCCTCAGATGAGCCATAGAAACGTTAGAAAGAAGTTTTGTAGTGTCAGAGTAGTTAACAGGTGGAATGCACTAGGCCGTGATGTTGTGGAGGCCGACTCCATACGCTGTTTCAAATGAAGAAAGAGCCCAATAGTTGATTGACGGTTGAGAGACGGGACCAAAGAGCGTGAGCTCAACCCCCGCAAGCACAGTTAGCTGAGTACAATTAGGTGAGTAACACACACACACACACACACACACACACACACACACACACACACACACACACACACACACACACACACACACACACACACACACACACACACACACCTGCCACGCATTGATTATCAGCTCACTCATTAAACACAGGAATAACTTACACATTAATCTGTAGCTGTCCGTGTACCTGCCAATCTAACTCCGCATCTCCTGAAAACAGCTGGAACAT